ACATTGTACTGTATTAATATAAAAGATTAATTAAATAAAAAAAATTAAAACAAATTTTTTTGGTTTTTATTTATTTATCCAATTCATAGAAAAAAATGATAATACTTTTCTGAAACTCTCTGCTTGTGCCAATGGCACTGTTACTTGAGAATGACCTCCCTCTGGATCAGTACTAAAAGACTAAATAGCTACCCAGTGCTGTTTTTGTTGTTTACATCACATACCCAGCTCTAATTACAGAGTTCCTTTATCCACAATTAATTACACCTTCAAACACACACACAATCCAACAACTCCAAAGTATGGGTCACAACACAGCACAGGGCTTCAAATAAATCCATACACATCAATCCACAAGGCCGAGACCACAATAAATAAAACCAAGAGTGTAAACAGGCTGACATGGGTATTTAAATTAAACAGAATGGAGCTGATTGATTATATACAAAGCAACGTTCCAACTACCAGAGCATTCTGCAAATGCATTTAGGAGCAAGCAAAAGCATCCTCACCCTCCATGTTTGTGCCGTGTGTTTTCGCCCAGGTAGACGTCCTTGTGCCTGCGCTGGTTTTGCGTGTTGCTTCCTTTGAGAAGGACGACGGGCCACAGCCAGGCCAGGCACATCAGCCTCAGTACAGAGAGAGCAAAGTTCATGACCGAGTCCTGAGCTCCAGGATCTGATGCGGGGAGAAATAGAGAGACGGTGTGGGATCAGTCTAACTCTCTGGAGATCCTTACCCAGCATCCTTTCCATCTCGTAGTGCCGCCCATTCCGACACAGAAAAGGCCCTTAGATCCACACCGGGCAGCAAAAGTTACACGGTCCCATTTGAAATCCTTTGAGCTCTGCTTTTGTGCATGTGTGTTAGTGTGTATACGGCTGGCGGTCTGCGTTTCCCATCCTGCCTAAAAGCCTGTCTGCTTTTCTGACCATGTCCCCCTCCCTCCGATTAAAACCAAATATCAATTTATTTCTATAATGACAAAGGAATGACGTTAATTCCTCTCTAATCTTCTTACATGCAGCTGCTGAAATCTTTCAGTAACCTATAAACTCCACGGGGAAGGGGAGGTCCATCACAACCAGAGCTAACTCTACCATCAGGTTGGCTAAAAAAAGCAACTAGCCCTCTTTTTTGTGAATATATAGTATCCGAGAATTTTTCCTTCAGAATCAAATACATTGCTGAGACAGACAGCTTGATCAACTGGCTTTGTATCTCTGACAGAATAAACCAATGCTACTATGCTGATTTGGTGCTCGAAAACATTTCTTATTATTATCAGTGTTAAAAATGTTATTGTTTTGTGTAATATTATTAAGCTAAGTAAGTAAGATGTTACAGAATCATTTACTGATCTTCCCATGTCTGTCAACGCAAATTTAGGACATTGTTATTAGTCTTATATGTGTTTACTGAGTCTTCTACATTCTGAATAAACTCTAGCTGTAAATGAAGCATAACATGGCAGTGGTTTTTCAGTAATTGTATGTGTCTGTACAGCTAAATAGGTGTCATGCTGCTATTAGCTATTGATGTGTAGATCCACGTCAGGATAATCTGTGAGACAGATCTTAACTCGCTTCATGGAGGATTACAGTCATGGAGAACATCAAGAGAAGACAGAGAGATGAAAAGGGAGGGATAGAGGGATACAGAACAGGGATGGGAGAGAAAAAGAGAGGTTTACTTTAAAAGACATCCAGGAAATGTTGTGTAAATACCTGTATGACAACTTTGAGAAGCATGAAAAAGTCTGTGTAAATAATCATAAAGGTCATGTCAGATGCATCAAGTCAAGTCTAGAGTTAGTCTACAGAGTCTATAGATTATAGTATAGTATAGTATAGTATAGTATAGAATAGATAGTAGTATAGTATAGTATAGTTTAGTATAGTATAGTATAGTATAGTATAAATTCTATAGTATTCTGATTTATTGAATAAAAGACAACACAGATACATTCAATAAGGTAATTACAAAAAATGGCTCTTTAAAGGAAAAGTTAATGTCTTCTCTTCAATGAAACATTAATTTACAGCACACACACACACACACACACACACACACACAGCCTTCAATCGTGGAAATGACTGCTGAAAAAGACATTTTAAACATTTCTGAAAAAAAACAAGTTCACTTTTAATAATGCTATAAGGTTACAATTACAGTAAACAATAGTTTATATAGCAAACAATGGTTAATTTTTTTCTTGATTGAAAAATATGTATCATAAAAATGTCCAAGTGATATTTATCTTATTTTTCTTTGTTTTCTTCACACATCATGTCTCATATTTAATCATGCATATTCGTCACTGACAAAAAGTTTATTGGTCATGGAAAAATAGTCAATCATCATGGAAATTATGCAACAGCGTGTGTAAAAAGTGTATAAATAATTTCATTTTGCACGCAATAAATATATTAATAAATGATTAAATATCCATTTATATATAAAATTACAATATTATTAGATTAAAAATAATTATTTTATATATTAAAAATAATATTATTAGAGTGTTCTGATTGGTTGCTAGGGTCTTTTAGGTGGATTCTAGACAGTTGCTGCTACGGTGTTCAGGGATAGCCAGATACAAATATATAAATACTTTTCACAAAAGATGTTTAATATAATATTATTAAATCTAGATATAACATTACTCATTATATAATGACTGTATATGCAAAGAAGTGTTGCACAGTAAATGTCAGAATAGTTTATTATTATGTCACTCTGTAGCAATTAATATTTCTGATCGATTTTTGATATTTTTAAATTGAAAGTCTTGGTTTGGGACAAGGGCAAAACAAAAATACATGATAAAAAAGTATCCAATAGTTTTAATAACAAAAGAGGGGGGTGGGGTAAATCTATTAGTTATAATAAAAATAATTTCCTGGGACATAAAAGTAGAAAGGGGAATAGAGGAGAGACAGTCAGATTCTACGTATATAAAAGAGAATAAACAATAATCGATTCAAGTATCTGATGAAACACAGTGGCACACAATCAATAATAAAATTGGAGCCAGCAGAAGAGTAATCCTAGAGCAGTAACATGCTCCTCTAATCCAGGATTAGAGTCTGATTGAGGGCACAGAAGAGTGCTGGCATCTGAGGGAGACGAGCACGTGCCTCAGTGCATCTAGAGGAAGCTGCTATTTACACTCAACCAGGATCATCCTTCCCTATTCAGATCATTAATCATTATAAGAAGGATATAAAAAAATGCTTCACAATCACAGCGAAAGGGTAATTTCCACAATCACATTTCATCCTAGTTTATCAACACAAATTCTATAAACATCTCCTTGTGGCCAAATACTGTATGACAGGAGAGCTAACAGTCTACTGTTTTGATCACAAAATGTTGAAGTTGATGATATAGCTATTAGTATTCTGATATTTAAACATAAATGTCTACTAAATGAATGTTTGCACTGTAATTTCAAGGAATCGTTTATTTTTCTGTCTCTAGTCTACATTAAAAATGAAGGGGGGGGGGGGACAAAATCAAAATTTGATGCCCTAGAATAATGTATATCTAAAACACATCTTATGTTTTTACAACAATATGGTGTGATGGTGTGGGGAAAAAAATGAATGAGACAAATCACATCGCTCAATATGGCGGCTTTAAGGATTCAAGGGATTCAAATGAGACCATAGTGAGGTTTGACAAATGTTATTGAAACAAACACAGAGATTTCGATCGTTCCCATACATAACTTTATTTGCATATCTGGAAAGCAGCGGCTCGGTGGCGTGGCCAAGTGAATGGACTTGCTCCAACAAGAATTTGGATTGAATTGAATTTAAAGTAAGGTTTTTTTTAGGATGCAAAACATATGTAAACATCATACAAAGTGTGCAATATTAATTAAATATACATTTTTAAAAAAAGTTTTCCTTGACTTAAGAAAGCCTAATCAAAGTAGTTCAAAGTAGTTTTAAAAGGCTAAAGTTTAAATGTTTTAAGGCCATACAGTACAGTCTATCATAACAATAGATAGGTAGGTAAGTAGATAGATAGATAGATAGACAGATAGATAGATAGATAGATAGATAGATAGATAGATAGATAGATAGATAGATAGATAGATAGATAGATAGATAGATAGATAGATAGATAGACATAAAGACATAATCATTACATTTAAACTTGAAATTAACAACAATAACTCATGAATATAACTCAACAATAACAAATGGAAGATAGATAGATAGATAGATAGATAGATAGATAGATAGATAGATAGACATAAAGCATACGTCATTACATTTAAACTTGAAATTAACAACAATAACTCATGAATATAACTCAACAATAACAAATGGATCAGATTGCATCAGATGCAAAATGACATTGCAAACAGTCATTCTTTGGATATAAAAAAACAAATCACATTTGTGTGCAGTGTGATTGAAGCCAAGAGGAATGTATTTACTGCCATGTCATCAAACACATTGACCACACTTCTGCCGCAGCCTGCAGGCACTCGATCAGCTCAGGCAAGAAAAGCACTTCCTCACTTCTCAAGTCTGTGCATTTGGTGAACCTGTAAGGTTGGTATGACAACTTGCACCTGTCAAAGTCTATAAATACTGCAAGTTTAAACTCCTTCTAAGCATTATGCCTCTGTTGGAGCTGAGTGTGGAATGTCAAGCAGAATAATGTACTGGGCCATCTACAGGGCTCCTTTCAGGAAGGAAACGACTGTTTCGTGTTCTGACGTCATAAGAACCTTTACTAACTATCAGGGTTACTGCAATCCATCACTAGTTAAGTACACATGCTTACCACACTCTTTGGCAAATTGGGCAAGAAGGTTGCAATGACATTTGAAGCATGTCTGTATTTAGCAAACCCTCAACAAAGCGCAAGGTGGTGATAAAAGACCTAGAGCTTTAGAAAGGTTGGCCTGGAGGGATGTGGGAAGGTTATGGTGAAGTAGCCGGAGTACGTGGTAGGCGTTAAAGGGTTTCAGCTGCCATTTAGTGACTCATGATCTATGAAAGAGGCGTGGAAACCTGTCTACCCACTCTCTCTCTCTCTCTCTCTCTCTCTCTTTCTTGGTCCTTCTCTGTCATTCATACCCACAGCAAGTTCACAGCACAGCAGAGCCAATATTCAAAAGTCACCTAGGAACTTTCTCTGTTTACTTTCTTTCTTTGTTTTTATATTCACAAAGACTCTCATTCAGGTGGAACCGGGAGCTTTTTTTTTTTTTTTTTTTGTCTGTGAAGCAGTAAAGAGGAACAGGGTCTGATTACGTTCCTGTGAGAGACTCTTGAAGACTCATCTTCTCAGCAGTTTTCTTTCTGTCTACTCTTCTTGTTTAGTCCCACACGTCTTACTTTGCTTCAATACTTTGTTGTGAGGGAGAATGTCAAGGACCCACTATGGCGCTTGTGTTGTTTTATGGATTTTTTCCTTAGTGGCGTGTAAGGTTCCAGGTAAGACGCACTTTTATTGTTATTTTTGAAATTATTTTCTGAAAGTGAAATAACTTTTTGCAAATTTTTTTTTATTTGAAAGAATACCACTTTCCTTTAACAAATCAAACAATTCAAAGTTCTTAATCGCTCATCAATTTATTTTTACTTCGATTTATTTGACCTTTTGCTCACGATCTGCTTTGATTTCAGTACCTGCCACTTTCAGCGAGGCCACTTTTTTATCAATTCATGTTTGTACATCACAGTTGCCATGCTGAAAAGATGCCAGGAAAGACTTGCAGTATGTTATGAATATACCTTATGTAATTCAATTGGATGGAATAAAGTATCAATGTTGGCAAGATCATCCACAGACATCTGTTTTCTAGTTATTAGGTAGTTCCTCCTTAGGAATTCTGAGTTTCTGAATTCTGAATTTCAGAGCTGGAAAAGTGTTATTTGTTACCCATCATGATTGCTTTAGATGTCTATTATAATAGGTTCAGTAGGTAGTGTTATTTTAGTATTATTTATTAATGAGCTTTTTATATTTTCAGTTTCCATTTTAATTTTAGTTTAACTTTTAATTTAATTTTTGTAATTGTTTTTTCAAATGTTTCTATTAATTTTTACATCCGCTTTAATAATTTTAGTACTTCAGCTTAAACTTATGCATTTCAGTTGCCAAAGCAAGATTTAGAATTCTGAAGTTTTTCATCTAAAATGTATATAGTTTTATTTTAACTTTGTTTCAGTTACTAAAATTGTAATAGTTTTATTTATATTTTAGTTATTTTTTAGTTAACAATAACAAGAAATCAAAGCACACACTTTGTGTATGCTTTGATTTCTTAGATTTTTTAAAATTTATTTGATTTTTAACTAAAATATAAATAAAACTATTACAATAAATAAAACTATTATAATTTTATTTTCCTTTTTTTATTATTTATTTATTTTATTTCTGAACCTGCCTGTTTCAAATGTGCATAATTCCAGCAACAGATCATCGGTCAAACTGAAAGGATGCCAGGAAAGATGAATGCTCGTTATAAATATACCTTATTATGTAATTAAAGTGGATGCTACTCTTAGATCTCAAGAGGAGGCAGAATTTCAGCTAATGGGGTTTTGAGCCCCTCCTTGTTATAGTCTGCGAGTGAAGGAGATGAGTGAGTCTGCTAGAATTCACTCTGGCCAGTTATTTGTGACTTACACAGTCGCTGTGAATTTTTCAACAAACCTCTCTAAGGACTCTCTGTAATAGACCTAGACTAGGAAAGGAAAGTGTTGCATGTAAGACATCAAGATAAGATAAGAAACAGTAGTAAAACCTCAACTGTTCCAGTACACTATAACTTTTAACCTTGCATTGAGGATTTTGGCACACTTAAAGATGTGATCAACGCTGATCAATCTGTAGATAAAGATATAATCTGGTGCAATCTCAGACTTGCAATGCATACAAAGCCACGACCGTGTCACAACATAAAGGTCAACGCCGTCATGCAATCTGCCACTGCTCTATTTATTTTGTATTTATAGCCAAACAATCTTCTGATAAGGTAAGTGTGTTGAACTCTAAACAATCACAAGTGGTCATTACTGATAAATGTCCTCTTAGAGCACTGGTCTCAAACTCAATTCCTGGAGGGCCACAGCTCTGCACAGTTTAGCTCCAACCCTAATCAAACACACCTGATCCAGCTAATCAAGGTCTTCAGGATCACTAGAAACTTCTAAGCAGGTGTGATTTGGAGCTGGTTGGAGCTAAACTTTGCAGAGCTGTGGCCCTCCAGGAATTGAGTTTGAGACCACTGTCTTAGAGTGATGTTATGGGTGAACACACAATTGTAATCACTCGCAGAAAAGGCCCGACAGCAAATAGGGGCAGCAGAACTCACATTTTTCTGAGAAAAAAGGTGGCATACATACTGGTGTACATATGTATGCTTTGTACACATGCACACCCACGCAGCATGTGGTTAGGAAGCAGGGGGTATACATATGCATATGACAAACAATGTTGCCAACGTAGCGATTTTGTTACTAGATTTACATTAAAATCTACCTGCCTTTAGCACCTGCCCCTGAAAGTTAGTACAAACCTAAGAGTCCAGCTGTCTTATCAGCAAAATGTTAAAAAGAACATTTTTCAGTACTAAGGGGCTTATGGTTTTTAAATGGCAAGTTTGCAGCCATCTCAGTGTATGATCATTGTATTAGATCAGAGCACTTGAGAGGAAATGATTTAACTAAAATAATTTGTTTGCAAATGTTGTTTTATTTGGTGTTTTGTTATATAATGCTAATGCTTCATGCATTTTCTTTTTTAAGAAGTTAAAAGTTATAACCTGATCTGCCTAAGGGCTATAAATCATTTTCGTACATGCAGGAACATCTGAAAGCTTTTTTGTTGATTTGCAGAGGTTCGTGTGACCTGCATCTTCTCTAAGGACTGTATTCTTCCCTGTTCTTTCACGCCCACTAATGGTGATGTGAAGATCCAGTGGTTCCAGCAGGAGGCGCTCATATTCAGTTTACAGCCGCCGGGACAGAGGTTCAACCATGGCAACATGTCTCTGTTCAGCGACAGCGTCTCTGAGGGAAACGCATCACTGCTTGTGAAACAAGTGGATACGAGGAGTAAAGGACGCTACAAATGTGTGGTCAACAATGTAACCGTGACATATGTTGTTGCAACAGTGGAAGGTTTGTTTCTTGGAGGAATACTTTGATTGATTTTAAATGTATTATTTGTAATTAGTAGTTGTTGGCGAGAGGTTAGCATAGTTAAAGATTTTGATTCATCCCACACATTTTTTATGGTGTGAATCAGTTCACTAAAAAGATTCATTCAGATTCGTTGTATGATTTGTTAGAGTGGGTGCCGAGTGTTTTTGTGTATAATGAGTGAGTCATCGATTCAAATCGACCCGAACAGGTTAATTTGTTAAAATTTCCTCAGCTTATTTACGTAGGCTACAATATGCCCCAGTTCATTCGAGGGGCGTCGCAAGACTCTATTGAAACACAAGCCCCAGTATAATATTATTGGTAAATCCTTATGTCAGTGGAGATTACCTGATAGTAGTTTTCCCTGATAATATTCATGTCGCGCGTGTGTGTTTTCTATCGCGAATGAATCACTCTTTTGAATCAAACGGATTTCCAAAAAGGTTCGCGATTCAGTTTGATTCATTCGGACAGTTCACTCACGCTCTGAATCGTCTTTACATTTTTATTTTTGTATTTTTATTATCATTTGTTGCTGAATTGCGAATGCTTTTAGCTTCTTTTATTTAGTTTTTTTTTTGCTTTATCTGAAGCACAAAAAATCTTTTTCAAAAGAGCAATATCTGTTAGATAGTTTTTGTCAGTTTCTTCATATGAAGTAATAGGTAAATTGGTTAGCACTCTTAAGCTAATAAAACCTGATTAAATTAGGAAATATTTAATGGCCGAGTCTGATCTGACAATGGTGGAATTTTTACTAATTAATTATTAATAATTTAATTAAATAATTTTTTTTACAATTAAATTTAACATTTGTAATTTTTAAACTATTATTTTTTTTAGATTATTTAACTGTAGAACGAATCTTTATCTATCTGTCTATCATTTATTTTTCATTTGATGTCTTCCAGCTCCCATCAGGACAGTCTCCATTGACATCAATCCCTCTGGGCTGATTCAGTGCTCTACTAAAGACGTCTATCCAGCACCGGTGGTGCAGTGGAGCACAGAACCCAGGTTAAGCCATGCCCTGCAGCCCATCACCCGCATGGCTCCTGGCGGAAAAAGACTCTTTACAGTAGAGAGCATCCTAAAACAGCAAAATAATAGCCTTGATTATATTTATGTGTGTAACATCACCTCTAAATACGCCACGCACACACGGACAGCTTCTTTACAGCTGCAAGGTAAACCTTGATCAAGTTATAATGTGCAAAACAGTGATATATGCTGCGGTATGTTTTAAAGGTGATAATACCAATGTTTTCTCATGTACATCTCAGAAATTACCGGCTCTGAAGGGAAAGACCTGGTTATTCCATGTAAGGCTCCTAAGAAACTTCAGTCCTTCTCTCTCGTCTGGACTTTTACGACAGCAAACAAAACCACAGATATCCTCACGTACGACAGCCAAACTCATAAATCCAGAAGCTTGTGGGAAAATGCAGAACTAGAGGATGACAATGCATTGAAGGGGGACGTTTCACTAACCCTGGAGAACACTGTTGGCTCAGAACATTCTGGATTCTACACATGTGCCTTCTCAGGAGCAGAGACAAGGCATCTGATACAGAGCCGTGTTGTTATTACATCCGCCAGGCAGGAGAAAGGTAGCCACTGATCCATGAACTCATCCATCCATTAACTGATCTGTTGGACCAAACCTAGAACTAATTTCCTGCCAAAACATTGTGTTTTAACAGCAACATCTGTCTTGACTGAACACTTCTGTTCTCTTTTTTTCTCTGTAGATTTTGTTAGATATAATCTGTGGATGTTGGGTATCGTCGCAGGATTAATCGCTCTTCTTGCTCTCACTTTAGTTGTAAAAAGATACAGAGGTAATAATGTGAACCGAACTCAATCCATAATAATTCATCTGCATAAGAGTGTTTATTGGTAAAGGGATAGAGTGGTTCACACACAAATTAATATTTTGTTTATGTGTGCAGCAAAATCAAAAAGAAATCAAGAAAGCGCTCAAGAGGATGCGGAAATGCAAAGCATGAACCCAGGTATAGTCCAGTCATCTTCAGTTTTTTTTTTAATAATTGATTAATTCATCATATAAGATCCCAGCCATGTAAATTCCATATAAATTAAACTGACTGTTTTCCTTTTGTCTTTCATAGACAAAACATCAGAAGAGCCACAAGCCGGAAATAAACTGACGACACAGGCTTCAGCTTCTCACAGTTAGCCATGGAAAGAAGAAAGGATAATGAAAGGGAAACCAGTATGAAATACAAGATGGAAGACCAGTTAATGGGACTTTATTTCTATGCAGTCTGATTATTTGTGAGAAACAATTTATCATCCAGGAAATGTTTGATGTATTTTTAATGGTACTTTGATTAAATATTTTTCCATAATTTATTCTGAAAAAAGTAAAATATTAAAAAAAATATATATTATTTGTCTGTATTTTATTATTAATTTTCCATAAACCTCATACTGGCAATATAAATAGTAATTATTACACTACTGCTCAAATGTTTGGGATCAGTTAGTAACTCCAACATTTTGATTGGTAGTGTTTTTAATAATTATCATCTCTAATTAACCACAACATGACATATGCACGCACAGTCCACTTCAAGGTTTAAACTCAGTGATTTGTTCTTTTCCCTGGTTCTTTTTTCTTCATCCTCTGCTAAACTGTACCTGTTACATGGCCAGACCAGTTCTGGCCGCTATATGTCCACTCATGCACCAGCTGGTTAAACATTCACTGGTTTAACTGATGTCCACAAGGGTCTTTCTCTCCCCCTTTCTCACGCGCACATGCACTTGCACAGAGACACAGATCGTGGCATCTCAGAAAATTGACCAGAACGTGTGTCATATTCTGACTGTCATGGAACTGCTGCGTCTGTGTGCTGCATTTCTGCTTTTTCTCAGGACTTGGGTATCTGGTATCATCATTACTAAAGGTAAGGCCACATACGCGCTCATTTTTTAGATGAACTGTTTCTCCTCTAAGGGAAAAACGGAATGAAAAATTACCATCCCTGTCTTGTGGGGAAGTCTCTACATCTTTTTTCGTTTTAGTTGTGTTTTCTTGAAGTATAAAATGTATACACTTAGCATAAAAATACATAAATGGATGTAAAATGCATATATGTATTTATATTATATCAAATAAATAAAAATATAAAAAGTCTGTAAATGCTCTTTAATGTTTTAGTTGTGTTCATGTTGAAGTATAAAACGTTAACGCACAAGGTGTTACGGTAATGTATAATAGAATTGTTTAATTTATGATATTAAAATCTATTTGTACATGTAATAAGATGGAGATAAGTGAATGTTTATTTTATTTTTATTGGTGCTTTTTTGTCCTTTTTTTTCTTTTGGTTTTACATCTCTGTCATTTAAGTTGTTCAGCCGTAGCTGTTGGCTCAGTAAATGGATCAAAGCAGCACTTGTAGGAAACTCCATTAGGCTCAGATTAATGACCCTTGTGAAAGAGAACAATCTGTGATTCATTTATGAGGAATAAGCAGCCTACAAGTAAATCGTAATTTAAATTGTAGGGACAACAGATTGTAGGAAAACAGGCCATTTGAGCAAAACAACAGGTTAACTAATAAATTTTTATGTGCAAATGTTAATTTGCCATTGTTCGGCACAAAGCCATTTTAAACCAAGGCAACCAAACTCTGTTGTGAGACTGATATCTGTTGAGAGTACGAATATAGGCCTGTATTTTTGCAAACAAAGCAATATTGAACTTTACATTGCAATTACAGTACATGAGAAACTACATGACTAGTTGTTTATCTTTAAACTGATTTTGAGTCGAATTCTGAGGCTTTACATGTGCCGGTCTCGCTCTAGATGCACATGTAACATGTCTGTTCTATGAAGACTGCGTGCTGCCCTGCAGTTTCAAGCCCACGGGAGCCGTGGTCATCCACTGGTACAAGCAGCAGATTCCCGTCCACAGCTACTACTACAATAAAGACCAGTACGGCCTCCAGAACAAGCATTTCAGCGGCAGGACCAACTTGTTTAATTCCCAGATCGCACAGGGAAATGCCTCTCTGGTGCTGAGGAAAGTGAAAGTCCAGGACCAAGGGAGATACAAGTGCTACACCAGCACCAGGAAGGGAAACCAGGAAACCTTCGTTAACCTGGGGGTCAAAGGTCAGTAACAGGGTCACAGATTTGTCATATTTTTGAGTTTGCTTGGGTTATTTGTGTTGTCGGATGTAAAAAGCTACGTTTCAGCTAAGTGTAAGAACTACAGTTCTGTTAGTCATCTACTGTCAAATTAATTTAGACGTTTTATCTTAAAGGGGTCATGTGATGTTGCTAAAAAGAATATTATTTTGTGTATTTTGTGAGAGTCTACTCTCCCAGGATCAGGAAACAGTCCTCCATAAAATGTGCTGCACACATCTGTATATTTGGGTTGAACTGTTCTGGAACAGTGTTGTAAATACAACTTAACCACTGATTGCTTGTCGTGTCCTGTTTTGGAAGGCCACACAAAGTAGTTTCGCTTTCACAATGAAACACAGCGTCTTCACGACATGGAGGCGGCAACAACAATACTACAGCAAGAATAAAAGTTAAGCCTTCTTTCTTTGCGTGAACATTTGGGCGGCGTTATGCAAATCTTCCCACATCGTGACATGTGCGGGCGTGTTAGAACGAGCCGTTTTAGGTAGGTGTGGTTGACACTAAACGTTTATAAAGAATATCTCTTTGGATTTGAGACTTTAGTCTTTGCAACTTTACAGATCTTCTTTATGCACCAAGAGCTTGTAACACTCCAAAGAGAAAGGAAAAATTTTAAATCGCATCATATGACCCCTTTAAGGACTGGCGGCCACAAGAGGGCGCTAGGGGTTCTATGGAAAAGGAAAACGAATAACACTGTTGATAATAATAAATAAATGTTGAGTCTAATAGATGTTTCGTCTGGGTTATAAACCCTAGTCGGAAATAACTAACAAATGAGATTAATCACAAAGTATTTGATTCTATTGAGAGATAAGGCAGTAAAAAAAGTATTAATTTAATAGAAAGTAATTTCTTACTGTGCATTTTTTTAAATTTAAAATCTTTTTTTCCCACATCCTTTCTCCAGTTTTGTTTATTGGTTTTAAGTGCAATAAAGTGTTAACTATAAATAAATATTTTGCACATATTTTTATACTGTAAAAATTAGACCTTGTACATGAAAATACATAGATGTCTTATACATTTTTATTCAGGATTGATTATTTGGTTTTAAGTGCTAAAGAGTGTTAACAATAACAAAGCATAGATAAATATTTTAAAATATGTTTTGGTTACCAAAAAAAGGGATTAATCGCAACGTATTTTATTCTATTCACAGATAAGACACAAAGCACAGTATTTATTTAATAAAAACTTTTTTTTTCAAAAATATTTTTATACTGTAAAAGTTAGACATCATATGCAAAAATACATAGCTGCCTTACACATTTTTTTCTCCAGGTTTGTTTATTGCTTTAAGAGCAAAAAAGTGTAAACAAATAATATTTTTATACTGTAAAAATGAAACGTTACATATGAAAATATATATAGATAACTTTATATTTGTGGAAGCCCATTTATACCAGTTATTTTCTATAGGCCATTAGATTTAATTTGGCTATGAAGAGTTTTTTGAAAACTTCGTGTAATATTTCATTAAAATACATGTAGATAAGATAATGTGGATTAAATTTAAAGGTTTATTGTCATTTACATAGCAATTTATAATCACTATAGATATCTATGTATAGATTGTATAAGTTTGTATAGACCAAGTTCACATAATAACTAGGCTAATCAATTCATTTTAATTGTATCACTCCAAAATAAGGATACAATCAAACTTATGTTTAGATCAAGTAGATACTCTTACGTTTTGATCATTTTTCTGTCACGCTTAGCTCTGATCCAGTTTGTGAAGATTGAGATGGTTGAGGAACGGGTGATCTGTCTGTCCCAGAACATCTATCCGGCTCCTGAGGTCACGTGGGCCACTGATCCCCCTACTGACTCCAGAAGCCTCCAGAACTTCACTCGTAAAACCTCGGACTCCAAGGGCCTGTTCACCATCGAGAGCAGTGTCAGCATGATAGGAAACACCTCAGATCATACTTACTTCTGCTCTGTTGTGTCCGCGGATGAAATGCAGGTGTGGACCGCATCGCTACATCACCAAGGTAACTGCTTACTGAAGCACAGATGGTCAAGAAAGGTGTTTGTTACAAAGTTCAAACAGCTCTTTGAATCATTTGAATCTTTCAGATGAGTTATTCGGTGAGGAGGGCTCTGGACTCTTGGTTCCCTGCATGGTGCCACAGCCTTGCCACAATTTTACCCTCACCTGGACCTTCATCAGAACGACAGAATCCATCGTTATCTTCACTTACGATAGCCGGACCCATCGGATCGCGAACCTGTGGGAAAGTAAAGCTGAACTTGACATAGATCAGGCTCATTTAGGCAACGGTTCCCTTCATCTGCTGAATCCAGACAGCTTGGGACACAGTGGTGCCTACATTTGCACATTCTACGGCTTCCAGATGAGACATCAAGTCCAAACTCATGTCAATATTACAGTTCGTGTGACTGGTGAGATTTACTTCATGTCAAAAAAATTACTTTGTGTCTTTGAACGATTGGCACAGTCGTTATGAATGTTAATTCATAATACTATATATTTTTTCCCAGATGATGATGAGTATGACTGCAGAAGGTCATGGTGGGGAACTGCTGCATCTGTCTTCATATTTCTGATCACTGTCTCTGTAGCCCTGTCGCGATGTTTTAGATTGAGAGGTACCTTTTTTATAATATAAAAATATATATATTTAAAAAATATATATATTTTTATAATATATGTTATTATAAAATAAATATTTAAAAAATAGAAATAATATATATCTTATATTATAGGAATATATCATAAAATGTTCTAATGTATTTTGTGTAATATTTTTATATATGTATTTAAGTAATATATTAGTGATAACAAAAATATATATACTTTACATGTTACTCTTTTTTTTTTTTACAAAATATACATATGTAATATTTATCATATGTAATATTATAATATATTGTAGGGAAAAAAAAAATATTTAATTTATTGTATAAATTATTACACAATATATTATTAAAAGCATTTAGCTTTTGTAATAACATTTTAAAATAAACATTTTGATAGCTGTATATATTACATATTACAACAATATATTATTGAAAATTGTATATATTATTGTTACACAATTAATGTTTTCACACAATATATGTAATATTTAGCATATTATAATATATAAAACATTCTAATATATTTTGTGTAAAATTACACAATATAATATTATTAAAAGCTATTTATTTTCAGCTTTTACCTGATTATATATATTTTAAATAATAGCATTTTATTTTAATATATTAATATGTTAATAAATATACATATTAATATATTAATACATACATATAGATATGTAATATGTTACATAAAATAAATATATAATATGATGATGCTATTATGATAATTATATCATATAATGATAATAATGTAGAAACATAATATAGAATGATAATAATATAAGATATAATGATAATTTATGAAAATGAGAATTTTAATAGCATTTTTATTTCACCAATTTTACACAATATTTATGTATATGTAATATTTACATATATAATATGATAATGTATTAAATAAAACAAAACATTTTGTGTAATATTGCACAGTTTAAGATATTATCAAAAGCAGTTTTACTTGAGCTTTTATTACAGGCACATTGTCTCTTGCAGGTGTACACGGCCATTCAGACATCAACGAACGAATCAGATGTAGCAACAAATCCGGTAAATAATTATCCTCATTCATGCATTCAAACTAATGCAAATGTAACACTCTCTAATTCTAATACTTCATTTTAGCAGAAATCCCAGTATTTGAGAGACAAGGACAAGATGAACCCAGACGCAACGGTTTAGAATCAGTAGAGACAGACATTCACAGAGCGCCGTCCAACACAACAGTTTATGAATCATCCAAACCACATCCTGACGGCTTTAAGAACGACGTCCTGCCACACACACCGACAGAGAACAGCATGATAAAGACATGCATGATTATTACTGATTCCTCTACACCTTACACACCAGAGGAAAGACATGAATCCAGGCCACAAACACCAACCGGTGCTATCATAACTCTGTTCACATCTGAGATTAATACAGAGGCATCTGATGATAAAGATAATGAGAGAAATGAACTTGAATCGGCGTCACACTCAGCAGATGGAGCAGAGATGGAAATTACAGTGATTAAGAGATTCCATAACAAATATGAATCTTCCACACCTGAGCTCTCACAGATTAATGGCTTCAGGTGATTGAGATTCATTTGATAAATTAAAATGGTGCTGACTAGTTAATAACTAGATTTAAGAGCTCATTCTTGAAGTAAATGATATATGTTAGATTAAATAATAATGTTAAACTAATTTGAGAAATATGCAACTATACACTTCACCTCTCAAGACTTCAAGCTCAGCTAATAAAATCATTTGAATGCAAAAAAAAGTCTTGTGCATTATATAGCCTATATCTTGTACTTAATCCTCACAGATGTACAATTAACCATTTTCATTTTTAATTCGTTTTTGTGAACCTCTGTTGCAATGTGATGCTACATGGCTTGTGTGAAATACATAAATAAACAGTGTTTGAATGTGAAATCCGCAGGTCTATAACCAGCAGGGGGCAATATTTCTGTTTGCGTAGTTTTAAATAGCGTATCCTTGCTTATCTCTCGGTTAAAAGTGTGATTCTTTTCAGTCAGAAAAAAATAGGTCAATTGCTTGCATAATATTTCATAAAAGAAGACTATACTTTGGTTTTAAATGTATTAAAATGCTATGTATTAGCCTACTCACGACCATGAACTATCTAGCTACTGTCACGTAGTTTAATAATGTAGCCTATATTGTGCAAGTTTTAAATCTCTTAGGAATTTTTTGGGAAGGGGCTGATCCTTTTGTCCTGTTTACAACGCGACATGGCCGTCCCTCGTGGACATTTAACAATTAAAGCACAGAAATGTCTCTTTCCAGCTTATTCAGCGGTGTGTCAGATGTGCTGTAAGCTATGTAACTGCATCATTAATTCAATAAGGAACCAGAGATGATAAAAGTTTGAGTGGCCTTTAAATATACAGGACTTTATTCTGTAGGCTATGTGATCTGAACTACTGATCCCTCCGGTCTGAAATGAGCATCTCCACTGAGGTAAGATTATAATCAGGCTATTATCATTAACAGACTCTTTCTCATTATTAAATAACTCCTCAAATAGCTCTTGGCATAGGATGATCATCTGAGTTGTTTGCATTGTCTGTAAATCAGCTCCAATGAATGTGAATCACAACAGAATGAGATAGTGAGCCGTGGCAACATGGTCAAGTAAACTCCTGGTTGAATTTGCACTTAAAATAATCTAGCAATCATTGTTCTAGAGATTTCCCAGCCTACAGGGAACATTCTCAGAACTTTGGCATTTTTCAACAAAGTTCTCTCAAAGTTGTGAACAAAATGTCTTAATTTCTTAATGTTAATATGTTTGCTCAAACTAATCTGGTCTTTAACCCAGCTGTCAGCTCTGTTAACTGGCGCTCTTTTTTTATTGCCTTTATCCCTTTTCTGCGTATTTTAGTTATCAATCATCCATAAATTAAATATCATTCGAAAGCTTAAACACTCAAAATTCCTTCTGTGAAATCCATTTTGAAATCGGACATGGCTTTACCATGGAAATGTTACTTTAAACCAGTCCAGTAGTCAAAATTTACTGCAATATATTATAATAAAAATTCTTTCTAATCTTGACAAAACATATATAGTTGGAAAGGATTGAGTCTCAAGGTTCCATATTTTGTAATAGTTGTAATATTGTGACAGAAATGTACAATATTGTGACAGGAAAATGCATAAAATATTCTTTGGAATTTGGGTGTTACCTGGTGGCGATTTCTGGTATAGCGTCCACCTCAATTTTTGAGATATCAACTTCAAATTCGGAACATAACTTAGTTAAACATATGGCTTTGATGTTATAATAATTTTAGATTCCAAAATATTTGGTAAAAAAAAATTTTTTTTATTAAAAATTGTAAACTTGTACAGTACATTTTTACAGTAGGCTTAAACTTCTAAAAATGTTTTACACTTGAATTTTTTAAAAATTATTTTACTTCAGGAATAATCTTCTGATTGTCTTCTTTAAAAGACCAACCTGTATTCCAAATGACAATACAGATTCAATACAAATAAGAAGTTAATAATATCCTGAAAACATTATCTTAAAATATTATTTGTACATTTATTTATTTATAATTTTGGCAAAACATTCTTAGAACATATTTTTTTTAGCTGGGTTGAAACGTCTCGGGTTACTTATGTAACCATGGTTCCCTGAGTAGGGAACGAGACACTGCGTCCTCTAGGGGTCGCTATGGGGAACGCCTCGTCGTGACTCGTATCTGAAGCATACATTGAAAAAACACCAACTCGTTGGCCGGCGACAGCCATGACGTCACTACCGGTGCGACTACATCCATTTGATATTTGGTGTGATTAAAGTGTGGACTTAATGTTCTCGATTGAATCCCTTGGTACCAACTGACCTAATATCAAAATTGTTGTCAGCAGAAGTTATTAAAATATGATGTCTTGCACAACTTGAAGTGACTAGCTCTAACATATAGACACGAGGAAAACAACTTTGTAAAAAGATTTAGAGATTAACTCAATATAATGCGGCACGTCATGCCAAAAGTTTCTCTGTTCGCAATCGGTGTTGTTTCACTGCTCATCCAGAAAAGCCGTGACTTTTTTGAGAGGGGGTTTATTCATGGTCACATGCACCATGGACATGGCTAATGGATCTGCTATGCTTTTTGCCACAACATATCACCCCTGTTTTAGCTTATTAACGTGATGCAAGTCTTCAAGATTAACTTTGAGTTTATTATTGGGGAGAAATGGACTAGCCCAGTGACCTCACTTACAGAAACTGAGAGACGAGAGGGAGTCAAGTGCTCTCAGCTGTTGCTGATCCTCACTTCCTCTCAAACGAGCTCAAGGAAACACCCAAAAACCAGCCAGCTGGAGAAAAGGGGGAACAGCCTTGTTTCATGAAATATCCCAGAGCAGAACTGCTGTGCTGCTTTTTGTAATATAGAGTTATAAGAAGACCTAGATAAACATTACATTTGGGGGATTCTAGATCATTTAACATCAGCTTTGTTAGTCTTTTAGTCTGTGGCCCATAAACCATATTCTGGCACACAAAGCATCACTGGTGTAATAGATTTATTTCTATTATTTTATATAAAAGTGAGAAATAGAATATGTTTTACAGCCAGCTCTTGGTTTTCATGGAAATATTCTCTACCTACTCATATTTTTTCGAAGTCTATTTTATGTTTTATGCATGTTTTTAAAGTTGTCATCTAGAAAAAACTAATTAGAAAATGAAATAAAAAATGAAGCTAAAATAAGCTGAAATAGTAAAATTACTAAAACTGAAACTGAAATAAATATGAATGAACACAATAAAAAATAAAAAAAACTAATAAAAATGGCGAAATCACTTTCAAAATACTAAAACCGAAAAAGTAAAAGTAATTAAAATGAAAATATAATCATAAAAGCAAATTCTAAATATTAGTAATACTATAATAGTGTATACATATAATATAAAAAATAAATAATACTTAAATAACAATGTTTTAAAGGAATAGTTACCCCAAAATGAAAATGACAGCATTATTTACAACATTATTTACATTATTTATTTTTAAATGCATGTTTTTTTATGTTGTGCCAAACTAGCTATTGTCTGACTTCATTAGACATGTAGTGCAAGTATAGACTTGTATATTGCAAGTCATATGGACAATTTTTATATTACATATATTATCATGATTGGTGCTTTTGCAAGACACAAACACACCTTTTGTGTTTCACAGAAGAAAGCAAGTCATACAGGTTTGGAATGTCATGAGGGTACATAAATAATGACAGATGTTTTATTTTTGGATGAACTATCCCTTTAAGTAATCAGACTGGTGGAATGGTTGGCTTGATTTTAGGGGTTTCTGTGTTTGTTCATTTTGGCTGCTAATCCTGTGCCTCCTCAATGTTTTAACCATGGTACTTTCTCTGTTATTTATTAGTTTTTCCGTCATGACAATTTATAGTAAGCCCTCTCAGCCTGGTCTCTTTTCTTCCTTCTCCCTCTGTCTGTCCCTTTCTTTGACTTGGTCCCAGAAGATCTTATGAAAACATTCCCCCACAATCTTTTCATGTCCTCCTTCTCTCATAAACGGAGACAACCACCCTTTCTCTAAAACTGCTATTTTGTCTCTGATTATGTGTATATGTATGCATCAGTGAATTAATCTTATTCTGAGTCAATGGGAGATCAGCTAAACCCATTTTCCAAAACATTGAGAGTGTAAAGGGTCTTTTTCTCAGGGTGCATTAAATGGCCTATAAAAACCTACTCCAGCAACTATGAAACTTAATCACTTCACCATGACTCAGAACGGTTATGATATATTTCACTGCAGCAGTACCTGAGTTAGATGAGTAAATCCATCATTTGAATTGCCGATTTAAAAAAAAACGTATCTTAGTTTGAAAGCTTAGAGCTTTGTACAGGTATATAAGGTATATTAGGTTTATAATGCCATGAGATTGAGTAAATGACATTTTATTTTATTCATTTTAGGGTGAACTGTCTCTTTAAACAGTGCTTGAAACCCCTGCTCTTATCCTCAGGAAACCCTGTTGGATTTAATTGAGAGTGGGCGTGGCCTGCAGGTGTGGTCAGCCACACCCTACTTGATCAATATTGGTAGAAGCTTTATTACTTTGATACCTCTAAATGAAGGTGAGTGTGTCTTGAATATATATTTAAAACTATCTGAATATTAGTGATAAAAAGACTTGTTTTACTTGTTAATGCAAAAAGCATGGAAATGTTTTACTGTGCCATATAGGTAGTGTTATATTTTAGCCTCATGGGAACCTTGCTGCTCTGAGACCATTAAAGTTTCCACACTGCACAGGAAATAGATTGGATTAATGTAGCCCCTTAAACTGAGGCCGTGATGGCTGAAATAAACTTGAGTTTGAATATGGACCCTCTTGCCACCCGCTGAGTTTAATACCAGTTATTTAATATGGGGGTTTCCAGAGTGGTCTGGTACATTCAGTATTGTAAAAGCGTACAGTAATGCGATGATAACATAACAGCATTTTGTTTCAGTGCTTCTGTGAAAAATCCAATCAAAAGTGCAATTTTATGAGCAGCTTTGTTTCTGTGCTAAAACTGACTAACATATGTCATCATGTCAACACAACATGATGTAAATTGTAGGTAAAACTGATCTCAGGTCAGAACTGTGTCTGTAATCGAGGAATCCAATAACTGTCTGGTGTCTGTCTGTCTGTCTGTGTCTGTCTGTCTGCCTGTCCGTCCGTCCGTCCGTCCGTCAAACGATTAATCCG